ACGAGTCATCACGTGTCCTCGCTTTGCCTGTGCCCAGGAGCCTTGTGGTCGAAAAGCTGCCAAGGCCAGGGGCTGGATGAGGGGATTAGGGGGGCGGTGGACATGTTCTGACCCCTCCGGGCTGACACCCCCTCCGAGCCCTGCACCCACCATCTCCCATCCCTGTGCCCAGCGTCTCAGAACACCCACCGCTGGCTGAGGACCGCGGTCAGTCAGCTCACAGGCGCCTGAGCCGAGGCAGAGTCTCAGCCCACTGCCCTGCGCCCCCTGCCGTCACCGCCCAGTGCTGGTGGCTCTGCTCCCCTCGGGGCAGCCCGTCTCCTCTGCCCAGAGCCCCTGACACCCTCACCCTCCCCCACAGCCGCTCTCCCAGTGCTGGGGCAGCCTGGCCGTGAGGGTGCAGCCCCACTTTCCCGTGGCCCCAGCGGTCACCTTTCCACCCCTGTCCTTAAGGCCAGCCCCCCGGCTGGACTCGGCTCTGGGGGGAGCAGGCCCATGTCCTGGAGAACCTCACAGCCAAGATGCCCCAGGTCCCGAGTGTGGCAAGGACAGAGGGTGCCGCCTGGCTTCTTGCTGTGGAAAACCTGGGACCCTACATTTAAAGGTCACTTCCTTCCCGGGAGGGCCCACGAGGACACTTACGAGGCACCGGGCTGGGCGGGCCGAGGGATGCCCCATCCTGTTTGCATGTTTCCTCACCAGCTTTGTAGGATAAGCTGTAGTCAGCGAAGGGGAGGGAAGGGGTGAGTCCCGAGTGACAAGAGCTTCAGTGGTGGGTCCCTTGGGGTCTCGGCCTCTGACCTGGCCAAAGAATTCCCCGGTCCAGGGCCCACCTCGAGTGACCCTGGGCAGCTTCTCTCTTCCTCCCTGTGTCGGGGCTTAGAACAGTGGGAGGGGGCGTCAAGCACGCTGGCCAGAGGGTGAGACCGGCAGATGGGGCTTCCAGAGGCACTCACAGAGCAGCTGGCGGCTCTCGGACAGGGAGCTGAGTGGGTGGGGTCCCAGGTGGTCCCGGGTGGCCCCTCCTGACTGCTGATCATCTGTGCCCCACGGGAGTGGTTGTGACGTCTGGGTCCTGGCCGGGCAGGCAGCCTGTGGCCAGGCGTGGCAGCGGCCAGCCCTCCGGTCCCCTGGGGCCTCCCACACCCCTGCTTCAGGCTTGGGAGTTGTAGCCGCTCAGCCTGACGTGGGTGAGTCCTCTGCAGGCACCTGAGTAGCCCCTGCCCTGGGCGGCCGGCGGTGGGCCTGCGGTCTCCCGCCGATGCCCACGTGCGTCCTTCCTGATTGGGGTCACTGAGGGGCCTGGCCCGCGGGTCAGACGGCGCCTCCTGGCTGTGGCCTCAGGTGCTCGCAGACCCTGGGTCAGTGGCCCTCCAGCCCCAGCTGCTTGGGGCTGTCCCCAGGCTGCTGCCCCCAGGCTGCTTTCCTGAAGACACTCCTCAAGGTCACTGTGACCTCCGAGGGCTAGATCCAGCTGCTGCTCCTCTGGCCTCTGTCACGGGCTCCAGCTGTGTCCCGTGGGTGTTTCCGTCGTGCAGGCCGCCCACAGACCCTCCCTGCTGGGCCCGGCTGTAAACGCTTTCGAGGGCTCCTGACTCCCCGGTTATATTTGCATCCAGCCCCCTGCATACGCGCGTGTCCGATGGGGCTCACGTGTCCAGGACAGCACCCCGCCCCTGGCCCCGCCCCAGCAACCCCTCCCCAGGCCTACCCCGGAGAGTCCAGCACCCTCCCTCCTCCCCTCAGCCCTGCGTAGTGCTCACCAGGGGTCCAGGCAGAGGAAGGTGCCCTCCAGGCTGTCTCCATGGTTACTGGAGAGTGGTGGGAGCCTGGGCCCCTTTTCCGCAGGCACCTCCCTCAGAGCCTGGAGGCCGCTGCTGCTGCGCCGTGTCCACTGTCCACGCACAGCCGGGCCGGGTCCTCTTTGCTTAGAGCCCTCGGGGCTCCCTGGTGTGTTGGGACGAGGTGCTGGGCTTGGCTTGCCGGCCCTGCTGACCCTTCGCCAGCACCTTGGGTCACTCCTCCCCGCCCCCCGTGCCAGCCCAGCCTCCAGGCCTTCGCACTGGCCATTCTGTCCAGCATGATGCTGTTCCCGGTAGGGCTGCTGGGCCAGGTCCTTCCAACTCGAAGTTCCATGGTCCCCTCTGGGGAGTCCCTGGCCCTGAGCTCACAAGCCGAACGAGGGCCTTGGGGATGTGGGGGGCTGTGGGATGGAGTGGGAGGTGGGCGGACTCGGGGGGCAGCCCAGCGGGGGCTCTTTCCATGGCCCTGCAGGGAGCAGGATCCTCTGCAGGACGCGTGTTGCCCACAGGGCCTTTGCCTTTCCTGCCCCTACACCCACCCTCCCCCTTCCTCCCTCACCCCCAGCCAGGCCAGGCTGCCTGTGCCCCCTTAGGCCTGGGCCCACTGGTTCCTCTCAGGGTCCTTGGGGCCTGCCCGGCACGGTGGGGAGCCCGACAAAGGCCACCGGAGTGGGATGGCCAGTGTTCTGGATGGAAAGGCCAGCGGTGCCTTCTCAGCCCTGACCGGGAGCCCCTGCCAAGGGCCAGTCCTGCTGGGTTTCCTGCATGGGGCGCCGCCCCGGGGTGCTCCCTGCCTGGGTCCCTGGAGGAGCTGGTCAGCGGGTACAGCTCTGGTGTCTGGGTGCCCGGTGTGTCCACGGACCCTGCTTGGGCCCCGGACTGAGAATTTCCATCCCCTACTTCCCGTTACCACGGCGCGTTCCCCTAAGCTGCCCTCCTTGCAGAATGGGTTTTAAAAATAGGATCAATTCAGTGCCTAAGGTGATGGAGAGGGGAGAGGGGACAGAGCAGCAGAGGACATGGCGCCCTGCTGTGGGGCCTGGGGACGCCGAGTATGGGGTGGACGTCAGCCGCTCCAGCACCCGGGGCGTGACTCCGGTCAGCTCCCACCAGCCCTGTCCCTCACCCTGTTCCGTTCACATTTAAACGTGAACCGGTGACTCGGATGGTCTCTTAGTTTCCTGGGGCGGTCGTAACAGGTATCACAAACTGGGGGCTTGAAAGAGCAGAAATGCGCCCTCACGGCCCCGGAGGCCGGAAGGTCAACACCGAGGTGTGGCAGGCCCCGGTCCCTTGCTAGAGTCGCTTGTGGAGGCTTCTTGCCGCCTCTTCTGGCTGCTGGAGGCCGCAGGCGTTCCTGGGCTGTGGTGACATCACTCCATCTTCACGTGGCCGCCTCCCTGTGTGTATGTCTGTGTCTGCTGTCTCTCTGGAAGACCCCTGTCATTGGACTGAAGGCCCACGCAGAGTCCGGGGTGGTCTCACCTCGGGATCCTTAACTTGCTGACATCTCCAAGGATCTTTTTCCCAAATAGGGTCACATTTGAGGTTCTGGGGGGTTGGGCGTGGACGTGTCTTTTGGGCGCCCCACCCCGTTCAGCCCACTGCAGAGGGGGTCTCCAACCTCCTTAGGGAGCAGGGTAGGAGCCGCACTTCAGGCGCAGCCGGAACCCAAAAAGATGGGGCAGCCCAGGGGAAACACGACTCAGGGACAAATGTCGGCCCTTGCACACGGCCCCCAAGCCAGGCTTGCAGGTGCAGACGTCCAGGACGTCCAGGGCGGGGTCCAGGACGTCAGGACAGAGACCTGCTCCTGCTAGGAAGGCGGGAGGGGATCCGGGGCAGTGTGGCGGCTGTCGTGGCACCGACTCTGCACCAGGAGTCGGCAGACCACAGCCTCGAGCCAGATCCAGCCTCCGCTCGCTTCTGTGACAAAGTTTTGTTGGAACCCAGCCGCTCACTTACAGGCTGTTGGCTGCTTTTGCAGTTAAGTAGTTGTGACCAAGACTGCACAGCCCGTGAAGATGAAAACCGTCTGGCTCTTTATAGAAAGGTTTGTCGACCTTGCTCTTGGCTGTATTACTGGGAGCATAACTCCTAGAACAAAGGAGGTGACAGTCAGGCTCTGCCCTGCTGGTCAGGCCATGCCTAAAGCGATGATCTTTCATCTGACGTGACATCCTTACTCTCCTCTGAGCCAGGCCATCGATGGGGCTGTCACCATGCAGAGCTCACCTCCGGGTGGGAGACAGCAAAGAGACGAGGGACAGACAGCCAAGGGGAATGACCGCTCTGAGATGCTAGAGCCTGCTGCAGAGCGAGGGGCACAGGAAGTGGTCGTGTGTCTCGGGGGCCGCCCCAGGTGTGGTGGTGCCAGCCTCTTCCTGTGGCTCTGCGAGCTCCGCCTCCCTCAGGCGCTTCCCTCAGGCCTCTGCTGACAGCTTGATGTTTCCACGGTGACATGTGCCTTTCACGTGGCCCGCCCGTGTGACTGCCTTCTTCCTGGGCCGGTCACGCCCCCTCCATGGGGCCACGCTTGCGAGAGAACACCCTGAGGCCCTCAGACGGGTTTCTGTGGGTTCTGGGGTTTTTTCCCTCCATTGGGGAGCATCTTTGCTTTTTTCTGATATGAGCGTTTTGAACACAAAGAACTGGGTTTTAAGTAGGAAGTGAAGCCCCCATCGCCGTCACCCATTTGCCGAGACTCAGTCGTGTGTTAGTTTCCGCCCGCTGTCAGGCTGCAGGGCCGAGGTGAGCAGCGGGCGGGTGTCCACGGACCCTGGCCTCGTCGTCGCTGCGGCCCCTCGCTCTGAGGCCGAGGCCGTGGTCTGAGGCACTGGGCAGGGCAGGGAGCAAACCACGGCGCCTTGTTCTCATCCCAGCTCACAGTTAGCGTTTGAGTCACGTTTGCTCAGGATTCAGCTCTCCCTGGGATCTGCAGGGCCTGCTTTTCAGGCATTGAGGAGGAAGGTCACCGCGCTGCCCCTCCCCCGTGTCCCCCGCAGGCGCCATGGCCTCTGGCCTCTCCTGTGTGGCCTGGGACCGGATGTCTGGAGCTTGCATGGCATTCAGGGTTCTCACACTTCAATGTTCTGGCATCACATTGGGCCCCCACACGCTGCATCTCCACCACAGACTGGGCCTAGGGGTGGGGTGGGGGCGGGGAGGATGGGTGCGGAGACGGGATGGGTCAGGGCCACACGGTGGGGGGGGGGTGCAGCCACATTTGGGATGGGCCCCTGGAGAGTGGCTGCCTGCTTTGCGCTGGGGTAGCAGGGTCAGCAATCATGACGTTGAACTTGAGGACAGGCCTGGCTCGCCCAGACTCGGGCACGTCCCTTGCAGACGGGGAAGAGATGGGGCTTGTGTGGGGTCTGCAGTGGGGCCTGAGGCACAGTGGCCCTCGCCACTCCCCAGGGCTGGAGGCCGGTCACACCTTGGGAACACAGAGACCCAGGAGGGCAGGTGGGCGTGCGTGTGGCAGGAAGGGGCCCTGGGCAGGCTCTGTGCTCACCCGCAGACTGCCTGCTGATGCTGGCCTACAAGGACAAGTCCGAGCGGGCCAAGGGCCTGCGGGAACGCAGCAGCCTGATGCTGGAGGACATCTGTGGCCTGGACCTCGGCCTGCCTTACGAGGGCCTGGCCCACACGCTGGCCATCGTCTGCCTGTCGCAGGCCGTCATGCTGGGCTTCGACAGCCGCGAGGCCGTGTGCGCCTGGGACACCCGGATCCGCTACGCACTCGGCGAGGGTGAGTGATGGGTGGCAGCGGCAGGGGTCCCGCTTGGCCTCCATCTTTAAGTGTCCCGTGCTGCAGAGGCCGTGACCGGACTCCAGGGCATAGAGTGGGGGTGTGTGCTGAGGGCCATCTTGCCTGGACACTGCGTTTGGGGTCTAGGGGAGCAAGGGGGCGCTGCCGGGGCCCCTCGAGCTGCCTAACTCCATCCCGTTCATTAGAACCAGGGCTTTCAACCTAAGCGGGTGGCTGTCTAAGCAGAGTGACCTTCCAAAGTGCTACCCTTTGCTCCCTGACCTGGCCACCCGAGCCCAGAGCCAGGTGGGAAGCGGCAAATGTCCCTCTGAGTCTCCCACAGGACATGTAGCAGGTCCTGTGTCCTGAGCCGGGCAGGAAGGCCAGGGGAGGACGGTGCTCTCGGGGTCCTGTTCGGGAGGAGGCAGACGGAGGATGCGGCCTGCTGGCTCGCTCCAGTGTGGCTGGGATCGGCATCCTGTACGGGCCCCCGGCCCCGTGCCTCGTGGGGGGCATGCAGAAGGCTCGGTGAGAGGGTGCAGGGGAGAAAGCATGGCTGTCCAGTCGGGGTTCTGCCGGCTCGTCTGGCTCAGAGGCACAGCTACCTTTTTCTCTCATGGGCTGTGGGGTCCTCGCACACAGGTAGCTGGCATGCTCTCTTGGTGACGAGGACGTGAGCATGGGCTCGCTGACACCCATGCGCCTGGGCGTGGCCCTGTGGCCTGGCTGGGCTGCGAGGCAGACCCCAGGTACTCCACGAACTGGCCACCAGCTGGGCCCTGGTCTGTGACATGGGGCTCTGCCGGCCACCATGGCAGGCTGTGTCCTGAGGGGGGTGCTCCATGAAGAGGGACCCCCACCCAGAGCATTGTCAGCAGCCTCCCGTGACGAGCTGTCGCCCGAACTCACTGGAACCAAGTCAGCCATTCGTGTGGGGAGGGGTGGTCAGGGCGACTGGCCCACCTGGAATGAAGGTGGTCCCCGAAGGGCCAGGCAGCAACAGCCACCACGCCAGACGCTGCACCTGGATGGGGCAGCTGCCTAGGGCCGGCCTCGGTGCAGAGCAGCCCTATCTCCCGGAGCCGACGCCAGGAGTGGCCCTTCCACCCGCCCCGTGACACCCTCTCTCCCCTTCCTGGCTCTCAGTGCACAGGTTCCATGTGACGGTGGCTCCAGGCACCAAGCTGGAGAGCGGCCCTGCCACCCTCCACCTCTGCAACGATGTCCTCGTGGTGGCCAGGGACATTCCTCCGACCGTCACAGGGCAGTGGAAGCTGTCTGACCTGAGGCGCTACGGGGCCGTGCCCAACGGATTCATCTTTGAAGGCGGGACCAGGTGTGGGTACTGTAAGTACTCGGGACCAGGTGGGGGTACTGTGAGTACTCGGGACCAGGTGGGGGTACTGTGAGTACTCGGGACCAGGTGTGGGTACTGTGAGTGTTTGGGAGCAGGTGCGGGTACTGGGAGTATTTGGCTGTGGGGACCTGGGCACAGGCACGCCCACTTCCCTGGCAAAACTTGACCCCACTGGCAAACTCACTTTGCTGGTATCTGGGGACACTGGCGAGCTTGGTGTCTCGCGAGACGGGCGCTTAGTGCTGAGTCCAGACCCGCTCCTTCCTGCTCTGGGCACAGAGCCACCTAGAGGCAGCCAGCATCTCTGGAGTGAGGCGTTCGGGTCACAGCTCATGGCCCTGCGTCTGAGGCCACAGAGCATCCGAGCCGCTCGTGTTTGGATTTAAGGATAATACTCGTGCTCGTCGAGGGCGTGGGCCAGGGGCGGGGCAAGGCAGGGCAGGAAGAGTTGCCCAGCGTCACACGTGAGGGCCAGTGAGGGGCCCCAGCTCCGGGGACAAGCGTCCCAGAGGCGGCCAGCGCAGGCGTGCGTGAGCTCCAGCGGCTGCCGTGGTCACTGTGCTGGGTTGCGGTGGGGCCTGGGTGGAGCCGTGCTCGGGGCCTGGCTGTGTGGTTCAGGCCCCCCACTGGATGGGGCCATTGCCCCCCACGGACACAGGCCGAGATGGCGGCTTGGAGCAGCTGGGGACCTCTGTCCACGTGACCCCCACCCTGCCCCGAGAAGCATGCGTCCCTCAAACAGCCTCACTTCAGGTCGAGATGGCGAGGGCTCAGCGCTTGGTCCGGCCAGGGGTGGACGGGGACCTCTGGGCAAGGCCATGCACTTGAGGACAAGGTCGTGCTGGCTGCTGGCCGCCCGGGGCCCTCGTTCCTGAAGGAGGGGGCAGGCGACGAGGGCAGTGTGCCGCTGCCGTGCAGGGGGCCGCAGCAGGGGGTGGCCCTGCCTTAGCCGCACCAGCTCAAACCCCGGCCGACGGCCTTCAGATGACGGCCGGGCCCCGGCTCGGGGCGGCTGAGAGTTGGAGATGCAGAGGGAGGTGGCCGGACGGTTTGGGGCAGTGGCTCTGGAGCCGGCAGGGTGGCCGCAGCCAGGCCTGCGCACCCCCACCCCCCAGCTCGGGGGTCCCCAGGGGAAGAGCGATGAACACAGCTGTTGGCTGCCTGCTCCTGGCTGGCAGGGAGGAGCTGGACAGGGCATCGGTCAGAGTCCCCTCTGCTGGATGAGCCCTCGGGACACCTGGTCTTCGGCTCGCGGGAGGTTGTGGCGCTGGGCGTCCAGAGCAGTGGGCGGGGCGGGGACCCTCCCCCAGCTCCGTTCCCTCCCTTACGTGGCCGGTCCGGAGCCACGGGCCACAGTGCACTTAGCACATGGCGGTCCTCCCGCCCGTGAGCCCCTCGAAGCACCTGGACAGGGCGGGGGGCGCCTGTGCCCTCGCTTCTCTGCTCGTCCTGTAAGGGCAGGCTCCAGCGCTGGCCCCACCCCGTGGTCGCAGACTGCCCAGGGGTGGCGCTGGCCTGCCCTGCCCATGGGGCGAGCCAGGGGACCTGTGTTATTTGCCAGGACATCATGTAACAGGGCTGCGGGATGGTCTCCTCTGCGGCCTCAGAGTTTAGAACGCCCACTCGCGGTGCAGGTGGGCGTCTTCCCACGAGCACACACCGGAGCGGAGCGGTGGCTCCTGATGGGCAGAGGCTGCAACTCAGCCTCCCGTGTCCCTGCGGCGCCAGAAAACCAGCCGTGACCAGTTACGGGCTTCCCGGTGCTTCGTCTGGGCGAGGGCGCCAGTCAGCTCCGCCCGCAAACGCGCTGGCCCCGCACACCGGCTTCGACCCCCCGTGGGGCGCTGACCCCCACCCTGGCATTTCCGGGGCGTTGCCATGCAGGGCGCTGCGGCACTCACACGGGATCGGGTGTCAGGATGCTGCAGCACGCAGCGTGTGGCAGAGAGCGGGCTCCAGGCCGGTCCTGAGTCTGCGGCCCCTCTGCTGCCCCGTCCCCTGGGTCTGAGCCTCCAGCTTCTTGGGGCGCAGAGCATTTTAGATGAGTTTCCATGTGAGTACAGGACGGAGCGCCTCCAGGACGGCCTCGCTGGTGGTGGCTCAGGACACACGTTCCTGCGGCTCTGACGGGCCCTCGGTGCCTCTCCGGACTCTGGTCCGAGCGCTGTGGCCTGCACAGTGGGCGAAGCCCTGGCCTCTGGCCCCAGGCATGGGGGAGGCAGGGGTGTGTCTGCGGCTTCTCTGGGCCAGGCCTTGGGTCCGGGGCTGGACACCCGGTGTGAGACGGACACGAGACGCTTGGTCCTCGGGGCGAGCAGTGGCTGCTGGCGGCCCAGGCCCAGCCCGGGGGCATCGCAGAGGCTCAGGATGTGAGGCCTCGTGGGGTGAATAGGAGTTCGCCCAGCCGCCAGACAGCAGGGGGACGGGGGGAGGGCTCCAGACTCCTGTGGAGCACGCGTGGGTGGCCCACACCTGGTGCTCAGGGCCCGTCAGGCAGGGGGTGCCGGGTGAAGCTGGAGGAGGAAGCAGCAGTGTGGGTTACGAGAGCCCAGTAAACTGGACCAGAGTTGGCGCTGTGTCCCAGAGCCGCGGGGGCCGTCGAAGGCCCTGGAGCAGGACAGTGCCACCAGCAGATCTGCGCTTACTTAGGGCGGTAACTTTGGCCTCAGGGTGCAGACAGGGTCTGAGGCGGGGCCCTGAGGAGGTGGGAAGCTGCCCAGCAGCTGTGTGCGGGGCGGGGCCTGCATGGCCGGGGAGGGGCGGGGCAGAGGCCAGTCCCCGGAGGGCGGGCCTGGAGGCCCCCCCAGGGGCAGCCCGGTTCTGGTGCTGTGCCCATGGCAGCCTGTGCCCAGGCCCCATCCCCCTTACACTGGGCAGCAGGAGGGACATTTATGAATTGTGGCATTCAGTAGGCACCGTTTCGGGTTTGCACGAGGAGCCAAGTCCCCTCTGCAGGTCTAAGACCACCTGTTATGTTACTGGCAAGTTCGTGGTCTACTTCGCCCCTCTGCTCCAAAGTTCCCACTGGGGGTGGCGTTTGGGCCCGGAATCTGTCATCTTTCTGTGGCCACCGTGCCGTTTGCAGACCAGAGTGATTCTGGGCGCCAAGTGTCCAGGGAGATGACTGGGGACACGCAGGCCAGGGAGACACAGAGCCGGGGGTAGCTGCCACCCCAAGGGCCACCCTGCCAGGTCCACTGTGCCAGCTCGCGCCCTCACACCGACCCTCCGAGGCCTGCGCATCACCCCTACTTACAGGCGGGGGCCTGGACATCCACGCGAGGTGGAGCCAAGGTCGACCAGTGTCCCGGCCCCACACCCCACCTCACTGTGAGCAGCTGTGGTGGTTCGGACGCGGCCTCTGTGGAGCCGCATCCCACATCCCAGTGCGGGAAGTTTGGTCCTCGGGCACCAAGGTCCAAGTGTCTCTGGTGGCTTCTCCCCCCCGGGATCTCACTGACAGTGTCAGGCGGGGTGGTCAGGGGCCAGCCCTGTGCCTGTCCCCTCCGCTCCACTGAACCACGCACGCCCTCGTGGGTCGAGAGGGACCCCACCCTTGGGGAGCCGGGGAGGCCACCAGGCCAGCGTGAGGTCAGTGTGTCCTGGAGGCCTTGTCACGAGGCTCGGGCCGCCCAGCCGTGTGAGATGTGTGCCCTGCCCCAGGGAGCCCCTGCGGTCAGCCCGGCTGGTGTGGGGGTGGCGGCTGTGTCCCCAGGCCTCAGCAGCGGGCTGAGTCTTGGGGAGCGTGACGCTGGGCAGACGCCCCAGTGGAATGCCGCCGGCTCCACCTCCCTCGTAATGTGGTTTTTTATAGTCGGGGGACTGATTGTGCTGCGGCCTCTGCCAGCTGACTGTGAGCTCGGGATGACACGCCTGGCCCCTTGTGGGAGCCGGTGGGCCTGACTGCCGCGCGGGGCGGGTGGCGGCCAGGACAGGGACGCTGTGAACGAGCCGTCAGCTGGGGGACGGGCCCTCGCCCTGCCTGCCCTCCGGCCGGGGTCTGGTGTAGCTCTCCGCTGGCACGCCTCGGCTGGGAGGGCCACCCGCTGGGCCGCGCGGGGTGGCGAGCCCGCTTCCTGGCCCCGTCCGGGCGTCAGTTTCCTCAGCTCTAAGGAGCAGGTCTCTGGTTTGGGGGCATCGCCTGGATGAGCCTCCCACAGCTGAAGGGGGCTGCGTCTCCCTCGTGCCCATGGTGCGGGGTGGTGCCATGTGTGGGGGACGGCCGGAGCCCCCGGGTCCCTCGATGCGGGGAGCCGGCGGTGGCAGGGGCTTAGTGTGAAGCTCGCCTGCCCCGCCCGTCTCACGGTGGCTCTCAGGGACTGTCCACTCGGGCGTGTGCCTTTGTTTGGGCAGCAGGCAGAGGGCGAGGGCCCCGCATTCCTGTGCGGTGAGGCCACTGTGGCGGCCCGGCCCCACGTGGCCACGTACCATTCACTGGCGGTGAGGGATTTCATTCACTCTGGCCAGGGAGGGCGGGCAGCCTGCTGACTCACTGGCTGCTCCCTGCTCGGGCAGCGGCCCCAGGTGCCCCAGACTGCGGTCCCACGCCCGGCCTTGCCTGCTGGGTGGCCGCCACGCATAGCCTTGGCCTTGCACGTTTATGCGTGGGCTCCAGTGTCCTATCGAGGGCATGCACTGCAGTGGGTCAGGACGCCAGCTGGCCCGGCCCAGGGGCCGAGTCTTCATGGGGCAGATGCCACGGCACACGTTACGCCAACACCCGTACTCACCCTCACGACAGCCCTGGGCGAGCAAACCGGCTGTGAGCGCCCCGACGAGGCCAAGGTCTCACACCGCCCCCACCCCCAGATGAGCTTGGAGGTGTGAGGGGGCCGCTGGGCTTTCCCGTGCCGTGAGACGCCCTCACTGGCCCTCTGGCCCCTTGTCCTGTCCTGGGACATGGGAGGCAGCAGATCAGGGCGGGGCCCGGACCAGCCAGTGGGACCTGTGTCCCACCCTGTCCCTGTCACACAGCGAGGTGGCCTGGCACCTGGCTGGGACATGGGAGGCAGCAGATCAGGGCGGGGCCCAGACCAGCCAGTGGGACCTGTGTCCCTGTCACACAGCGAGGTGGCCCGGCACCTGGACGCGCGTGTGTGCGTGTGTGCGCGCGTGTGTGCGTGTGTGCGCGCATGTGTGCGTGTGAGTGTGTGACCGGCGGGGTTACTGGGGCCCTAAGAGGTCATCCAGGTGCTCGGGGACACCCCTGACAGGTGGCCTCGTGGCTTTGCCCGGGTTTCCCGCCCCTGAGCCACCCTGCGGGGTGCCACCCACCTGCGCTCTGGCCGGCTGACGCGTCTGTCCCCTGCAGGGGCCGGAGTCTTCTTCCTGTCCTCGGCCGAGGGGGAGCAGATCAGCTTCCTGTTCGACTGCATCGTCCGGGGCCTCTCCCCGACCAAGGGCCCCTGCGGGCTGCGGCCGGTCCTCCCAGGTGCGTGCGGGCCGTGGTCCGTGGCAGGGTCCCTTGGCCACCGCCCTGCCCCCACACGCAGCTGAGAAGCCATCGGCGCTGGCCTCGCCGGCAGACTCCTGGGGTGCAGCTCTTTCTCTGTGGGGCTGGGCTGTCGGGGTGCTCCGGGCCACCTCGTGCTGCAGCTGCTCCGGGCGAGGCTCCCAGACACCTGAGCAGCCCCGTGTCCCAGAGTGGGCCAGGGGCCTGGCTTGAGGTTGCAGGGACCTTGTGTGGGGTCAGGACCAGCTCCGTCCAGGCCAGCGCTCGGCGGGAAGCCGCCCTGTGAGGCGGCCCGGTTGGGGGTCTCAGGGAGCAGTGTGGCGGGGAAGGGTGGCACGGAGCAGGCCGCGTTCTGTCCCCGCTCCCCCCGCTGTGGCCGAGCTGCCGTTCCTCCAGAGCTCCGGGCCAGGGGCCGTGCCCCCTGGGCTCTTCCTCACGGGGTGAGCTACGTTCCCCTAAAGACAACCTGGGGGGCCCAGGCCCAGCCGCCTCCCGAGGGACAAAGGCTGGTCCTTGGCGCCAGAGACCCAGGGTGGCTGGCTGTCCTCTCACGGCAGTGAAGCAGGGCCTGGCCCTTTGTCCTGCAGAGAGATCGGGGCCTGTGGCCACACGGCGGGTGGTCAGTGAGGCCAAGTGCGGTCCCTTTGCAGGACCCCCTGGGCAGGGGTAAGCGAGCAGTGGGCGGGACCCCCTTCTCCCAGGCTCAGCCCCCAGCCCAGGGGAACAGGCTGGGAGGAGGGAGGCGGCTCCGCGCCTGAGCCCGGCCACTGGGCTGTGCCAGACGGTGCAGCTGCGCCCTCTGCTGGCGCCATCCTGCCTTGCAGCTGCATCGGGGTGTGGGCGGCCGGGAGTGGGCAGTGGGGCTCCCAGAGGATCTCTGCATTGCTGCCCTGGCCTTGGGGCTGGGCCGAGGTGCACATGGTGCTGACCCTGCTGGGCTCACTGTGCTGTCCGGAGCTGTGGCCGAAGGCCCTGTGGGCAGAGGGTTGGGGCTGCCCCTTCTGACTCCTGTCTGCCACAGACCCCGGCCCCGGGGGCCCCGCGGAGGAGCGAGGGGCCCAGGAGGCCCTGGAAGCCCTACAGCTGGAGAAGCGGCTCAGCCTCCTCTCCCACTGCGGCCGGCCGGGCAGTGGAGGTACGGCCACCCCCAGGCTGCCCCCCAGCCTTTGTCCCTGTCCCTCCTGCTCGTTCCTTGTCCCCTGGCCCACGACGGCGGGAGCACTGAGCGTGGGCCTGCTCTCCCTCTCAGGGGACGACCGCAGCCTGTCCAGCTCGTCGTCAGAGGCCAGCCACTCGGACGTCAGTGCCAGCAGCCGGCTCACCGCGTGGCCGGAGCAGTCCTCGTCCTCGGCCAGCACATCGCAGGAGGGGCCGGGGC